TAATAATAATAATAATAATAATAATAATAATAATAATAATGATGATGATGATGATGAAGATGGCTGTCGCCCACCTGTGCTGTATTTACAGCGAGATGTCTTGTTCCGCACTGATCCAGTACTACTGCAATGTGTCTGCACTGCCATGTCCCAGCGGGCTTGAGGTGACCGAAGGGGAGTGGTGCCGCAGGGGTCAGCATTGCCGCCTCACAGCACTGGGGGCCTGGGTTCGATTCTGGAACCGAGGTGCTGTCTGTGTGGAGTCTGCATGTTCCCCCCATGTTCATTCAGCTTTCCTCCAGGAGCTCTGGGCTCTTCCTACGATCCAGAGACACGCTGGTGGGATAACTGGCTTCTGCACCCCACCTTGTGCCCAGAGCTTTCTGGGATAGGCTCCGGCTCCCCCGATCCTATCGGATTGTGAGTGATTGAGGGGAACACTTCTCCCTCCCTGCCCCTGATTTTACTATCACTTAGTCCCCCATCTTCACCAGACATGGCACCCCTGGTTTTGCTGTCAGGTGTCCCCTAAAACATGAAAAGCAGGTCCCCCCCTCCTTTTCTTTTAACATTCCCTATAAGGGGCGGTGCAGTGGCTCTGTGGCTCAGGATCTGCGCCTGTGATTGGAAGGTTGCCGGTTCAAATCCTGCAGCTGGCAGAGGAATCCTACCCCGTTGGGCCCCTGAGTGAGGCCCTTCACCCCAGCTGCTCCAGGGGCGCCGTATAAATGGCTGACCCTGCGCTCTGACCCCCAGCTTCCCTCCCTGTCTGTGTGTCTGTGTCTCATGGAGAGCAAGCTGGGGTCTGCGAAAAGATAATTCCTAATGCAAGAAATTGTAAAGGGTTAATAAAGTTATGTTATTATTAGATTCTCAAAATTCATATATTTTGTTTAACACACAGAATACAAGGAGGTTCTCAGACAGAAAATCTGTAAGTATTCTTTCGTTTTCCTCAACAACACCCTGAAAATTACTGTCTGTCTTGAACATTCAGCATTTTCAAGTCTTTCTTCTTATTCAACCCGGGAAAGCATAAGACAAGTGAAAACATAATTCTAATTGAAGAAATGACTTGTGCGGAAATTAAAATTAATTTTAAAAGTAATTTTATCAGGGCTTGGGCCGGGAACTATGCAGTTACGCAAAAATGTATTTTAAAGGGTAATCATTTCTCTTTCAATAAGGAGCTTAAGCTAATATCACATAATCAGCGTATTTCACAAGAAGCTCTCGCCCCGTTTCCGGTCCTGGAGCGGAAGCGGCTGGGGGGGGAACAGCTGTGGGTGTTACAGTGAAAGCGGTCCGGCCGGCTATGTGGGTGAAAGGTCGGGCGGCGGAGCGGGGACACTCGGGGAAGGAGAGTTTTGCACTCGCTCTGTCACTCCCGCTGCAAACAGCGCACCGACCCGGTGCTGCCTTGACTTTTTTTTTGTCACCGATTACATTTTTATAAAAAAATTGTTTTGTTTTAAGTTTTGTTATCAACCTGCAAGAGCTTGTGCTGTCCTCCCAGCCATGTCCAAACAGCAGCAGCCGATCAGCCCGCTGAAGAATTTCTTCGCTGGGGGCTTCGGGGGCGTGTGTCTCGTGTTCGCGGGGCACCCCCTGGACACGATCAAGGTAAACTTCACGGGGGGTCACGGGGGACCCGAGCGACTCGCCTCGTGTTTGTTCTGCATGTGTTTCTGACACCGCTGGGACACTTAAGTTGAATGTTCTTAAATGCTTATTGTGATCTAGAGTGGATTTTTACTTCTTAGTATGTTATGTTGGGAAATGGTGTTTCCTCTTATTTACTGGACACGTATCGCCCCACTTTCTGCATCTTTGGGGACACGCTGGACGCGCATACTGTGAACCCCGGAGCTGTCGGGGTCGCAGGACGTGTTTTTCTAACTCCTCAGCCTCGGAGGGGTGGACTTCGGACTCGCTGAGCGCTGCGACCGGAATATTTGGGGAGTCGCATGCCCCGCATGCCCGCACAGTAGCCGGCGATGTTGGTATTGTGATTATTTGTAACGCGCCTTCACGTCCCTCAGTCGTTTGGAACGAGACAGTATTATAAATGATTATAGTTGGTGTCGCGGTCCCACTCAGATAGTGCACGCTGTGACCTTTACCCCAGTTTCATATCTAACCCATAGGATAAAGAAACGACTTCCCACGTCACTCTCGTCGCCAGGGGGTTGGAGATGAGCCTGTGATCTGCAAGCTCAGGTCTCCCTAACAGCTTGCCAAGCAGACAGTGCGGCTCCCGTTGCATAGCGGACCGATCCGCTCCGGGTTTAACTACCTACAGGGCTCTTCAATACAGAACTGGGCCAGAACGGGGTGCAAGAGATTTCGAGTTTGACCTTTTTTTGACTACATGTGTATGGTCAAAACAAGGTGAAATAATAAAGGCCTTATCCGTCCATTTTCTGACCAATTCAGGGTCGCAGGGGGGCCAGAGTCTATCCCAGCAAGCAACGGAGGCGCAAGGCAGGCTACACCCTGGACGAGACGCCAGTCCATCACAGGGCACACACACACACACACACACACACACACAAGGGCCAGCTTTCCCAGAAGCCAGTTGACCCCCCCCAGCATGTCTTTACTCTGTGGGAGGACACCCACGCAAACGCGGGGAGAACATGCAAACTCCACACAGACAGCACCCCAGGTCTGGAATGGAACCCAGGGCCCCAGCGCTGTGACCACTGCGCCGCCACGCCGCCCGGGCCTTTAAAAAAAAAGTGGTAAAATGTTCTAAAAAATGCACCTTCAGCCCTGAGCGCTGCCGTGTCTCCCCGGCAGGCGGAATCGCTGG